TTCCAGAGCATTTTACCCCAAATCCAGAGGGGAGCCAGGATTCCAGAGCATTTTACCCCAAATCCAGAGGGGAGCCAGGATTCCGGAGCCTTTTAACCCAAATCCTGAGGGGAGCCAGGATTCCAGAGCATTTTACCCCAAATCCTGAGGGGAGCCAGGATTCCAGAACATTTTACCCCAAATCCTCAGGGGAGCCAGGATTTCCTAGACCCCTGTTGATCCCCAAAGGCAGTGGTCAGGGGTCTTTCCCTGGGATTCTCCATGGATGAGGCGACTTTCCCAGGGGTTCTCCAGGGCTCAGATGATTTTCCAGAGCTCAGGTGATTTTCCCAGGGATTCTCCCAGAGCTCAGGCAATTTTCCCAGGGGTTCTCCAGGATCTCAGGGTGTTCTCCAGGGATGAGATGATTTTCCCAGGGGTTCTCCCAGATCTTGGGGTTTTCCAGGGTTCAGGCGATTTTCCCAGGGTTTCTCCCGGGTCTCAGTGGGTTCTCCAGGGATGAGATGATTTTCCCAGGGATTCTCCTGGATCTCAGGGGGTTCTCCCAGGGCTCAGGCGATTTTCCCAGGGGCTCTCCCGGACCTCAGGGGGTTCTCCAGGGATGAGATGATTTTCCCAGGGATTCTCCTGTATCTCAGGGGGTTCTCCCAGGGCTCAGGCGATTTTCCCAGGGGTTCTCCAGGGATGAGGCGATTTTCCCAGGGGCTCTCCGGGACCTCAGGGGTTCTCCAGGTGCTCTGACCCCCTCTCTGTGTGCCGGCCCAGGAGAGAAGCCGTTCATCTGCGAGATCTGCGGCAAGAGCTTCACCAGCCGGCCCAACATGAAGCGGCACCGGCGCACGCACACGGGCGAGAAGCCGTACCCGTGCGACGTGTGCGGGCAGCGCTTCCGCTTCTCCAACATGCTCAAGGCGCACAAGGAGAAATGTTTCCGCGTCACCAGCCCCGGCACCAGCCCCGGCCCCGCCGGCCCCGCGCTGCTGCCCGGGCCCTGCCCGGCGCCGCCGGCCGCGGGCGCCGCGCTGGGGCTGGGCCCGGCCCCGCGCCCCGTCCCGCACCCCTACGGCGCCCTGGCGCTGCCGCCCCACGCCCACGGCGCCCACGGGCAGCACCTGCCCGTGCCCCCCGTGCCCCACCTGCCGCCGCCCCCCGCCCTGTTCAAGAGCGAGCCGCCGAACCACCGCGGGCACGGCCACGGGCACGGCGACGGCGGCGGCTTCCTGCGGCACCTGGACAAGGGCGGCCCGGCACAGCCGCACTGACCCCGGCGGCAGCCAGGTTTGGGGGCCGGGATGGGCTCCGGGACGGGCTCCGGGACGGGGCTGGAGCGCCGCGGGCACGGCTCCCACGGGCCGGCAGCTGGGATCCGGCTGTGGGCTCTGGAATCCGGGATGGGATCTGCCGGGGGATGGAGCNCCTCCCGGGAAAAGATCCGGGAGCTCTGGGGATGGGAAGAGCTCTGGGAGCTTCCCGGGAAAAGATCTGGGAGCTCTGGGGATGGGAAAAGCTCTGGGAACCTCCCGGGAAAAGATCCGGGAGCTCTGGGGATGGGAAGAGCTCTGGGAACCTCCCGGGAAAAGATCCGGGAGCTCTGGGGATGGGAAGAGCTCTGGGAGCTTCCCGGGAAAAGATCTAGGGATGGGAAAAGATCTAGGGGTGGGAGAAGATCTGGGGATGGGAAAAGATCCGGGGATGGGAAAAGATCCGGGGATGGGAAAAGATCTGGGAGCCTCCCAGGAAAAGATCTGGGAGCTCCCGGGAAAAGCTCTGGGGATGAGAAAAGCTCTGCGAGTCTCCCGGGAAGAGCTCTGGGTGCTCCCGGGAAAAGTTCTGGGGATGGGAAAAGTTCTGGGAGCCTCCCTGGGGAAAAGATCTGGGAGCTGCGGGGAAAAGCTCTGGGAGTTCTGGGGATGGGAAAAGCTCTGGGAGCTCCCTCCGCTGGGGTCTCTGTGGGGATTGAGGGGTTAAATCCATGCGGTAAATCCATGGGAATGCTCCTGGGAAGTGGGAATGGCCTTGGATGGGGTGGGAATTAAGGGCAGTTTTATCAAACGTTCGGAATCATCAATCGGATCCCAGCACAGGTCCCTCCTCAGGGGTCTCGGGAGGGATTGAGGGATGAAATCCGTGGGGAGCCGGTTTGGAGCCGATTTGGTTTGGAGCCGGTTTGGTTTGGATCTGGTTTGGTTTGGAGCCGGTTTGGAGCCGGCTTGGTTTGGAGCTGGTTTGGTTTGGAGCCGGTTTGGTTTGGAGCCGGTTTGGAGGGAGGCAGAGTCCTCTAGTGGAGAGAGCCCAGGACATCCACAGAAACCCTTTTTTCCTGGAATAACCCCATCCCTGCCAGCCTTTCCCCACACAATCCCAGCTGTTCCCCACACAATCCCAGCTGTTCCCCACACAATCCCAGCTGTTCCCACAGAATTCCAGCTATTCCCATAAAATTCCATCTTTCCCCACA